TGACCCTGCAGGACAGGGTAGAATTGTCCCCGTGTTTAGAACTTTTTTTTTTTTTTTTAATTATAACTTTTTACAGGAGTAGAACGCCTCATCTTTCTCCCAAGGAGTGGCTGGTCGTTTTGAAAAGCTGACCTTGCAATTAGCAGCCCAAATCCTAATCCACTAGGGTACCAGGATGCCTTAGCATTGCAGCAATAATTAACTCTGCGATAGGTGGCTTCCGCAGGGCCACCCACAGCCATATTGGCAACTTCTTCAAACCAAACCTAAAACTACCTCCTCTATCCTGATTTTATAAAGGAACCTTTTCTTTCACCAAAAGCAAAAGGCCCAATCTCAGAATCCACATTGCAGTTATTCCCTTTAAATACAGCCCTCTGGCAAACAAATCTATTTCAGGCCCTTTCTGCTGAAAGGAGCTTGGTGGCCCGCTCTTGGTAAACGTGGGGTTGCTAACACAGCTGCTAAGCAGCTGCTCCTCTGGAGAAAGCAGAGGTCATCTACTGCGGGATGCTAACAGTTGGAATCAACTCAATGGCAGTGAGTTTGAGTTTTGCTCAATTCCCACCCATCACATTACCCAGTCTTGCCAGTTTCTTACATATCCCTCAGGATTTTTTTCCCAATGCATGCTCAAGTATGTGTACTTTAAACACATAAATGAAATAGTTTCTCCCCCACAAAACAATTAATCAGACACCTTGCCATATGAACACATACAGGCCAATCTCATTCTTTGGAAGGACTGCATAATTAAGAGGCTAGTTCTCTAAGCTAATAAACATCAAGAAAAACTCAAGCTATTGTTCTTACTGTGCTATGGATCAGTGAGTTTTACCGTAGACATCACTGTTGCACACAAAGAGGAGTTAGGAATTGAGTTGGGCCTTGACAAGCAGACCTGGTGGTGTCTTGCGTACCCGTTGGGCTGTGATCTACACTGTAAACAGTTTGAAACCACCAGCAGCTCTGAGGGGAGAAAATCGGGGCTTTCCACTCCTGCTAACAGTAAGCAGTTACAGTCTGGGAAACTCACAGGGGGTAAAATGAGTCATCACTGGCTCTGCTGCAGTGAGTTGTGGTTTGAGTTTTTGAAAAGCAGAACGGAAGGAAGGTGTAGTCAATTAAATGGGAATATGGGTGGGGGTAGGAGCAGTCATGGATGGTGATGATGGCAGGACCCATCATCTGGCCTTGAGCAAAGGATACAGAGGCGGAGCTCCGGAGTCAGAGGGCAAGAGCCTGTGACCACCTCCCTCTGCCACTTTCAGCCATTTTTTAACCGGCCTTTCACAAGTATCACCTGATTGGAAAATTCCCAAGTACCCGTTTTGTAGAATGAATGAGTAAGCCGCAGACACGATTACAAGTCGAGTGCTCTGTAAACCACCATGAGCTGTGTAACTGCTGCTCGTCAAACTGGGAGCAATGGAAAAATGACGGGGTCCCCCCCCCCAAATCTTCCCAGATACGGTAATTCATTTAATGAACAAAAGAAAGCCAGAGAATTCCGGCACGGGCGAGGCAGGGAGTAGGATGGGTGGGAACAAGGGCCGAGGGATGGCTTACGGGGACCGCTCACAGCCTCTCCTGCGAGGATGCTCAAGTCGGCGCCGACCGGTGGGCGGATCTCCGTCCTAGCAACTCGGCGGCGGAGAGAAAAGAAAGGAGGGCCGAGCTGCAGAAAGGCGCGTGGCAAAAACGGAAGCGAGAGCACAAAACTTTGCTTCTATGGGTTTATTTTTAAAGCATCAGGACCTCTTCCGAATAGGGGCTGAAAAGTACACCCCGTATCGTCTC